ACAACGAAAGGAGACTGCGACCACACAAAAGGCCACACCATCTTGGTCTTCATATCTTCGATTAAATTCAGAAAGCCTAAGCCTTTTAACACTGAAGCGTATTCCTCTTTAGGGGAATTTTCGAGTTGCAAGCCTTGTGTACGTGGATCTTCAGACTTACTGGACGTGTCGGAATAACGGGACACGGTGGAAAACCTCTATCCGGCATAGGCAAAAGAGATTTTAGTCAATTATCTAATCTTTTGGGGTTGTTTTTCGGAGGTCAAGAATATATAAATTATCGAGCACATGCAGGACTTGATAAGCAAACTATTAAATTGTATGTAAACACATTCAGTTTAATTATTAAAACAAAGACTACGGCAAATCATCTTCGAGATGACTTGAGTTTTCTAGTTGGCATGCGTTAATCAACCAGTTTTTGAGATTTAATCTTTCAACCCACAACTTTTCACAATGTCCTGAGAGAGCGAGAGAGAAAAAGAGAGCTAATGTCAATTTTGTCAAAATTAATCATTTTCTTGAGGTCTGAAATGTTGCCATTCGGAATGTGATCGAGGACTTATTAGAAGTCTGCAGAATAGCCTTCTCCCAGATGGTTTTTACATCCAAGCCGGACCTTAATTTCAGCAGCGTCTAGGCCTCACAAGCACCGTTAGCGGTATTCGAGCCCGCATCAAATGCGTCATGTGGTAAATTTGATACTCCGTCGGATAGCCAGAAAAGATGTGACATTCAAGACAAGCCAGGCCTCGTTTACTTCACATTTACAGAAGGAGTGTCGATTAAGCCAGCAGAAACTTAGACGAACCAATTAAAGACAGTATTAACATTCAGTGTGAGTATGTTTATAGGCATAAGAACAAGTTCACACATTGGCAGATCCGAGTGGTGACGTGTCAACACGATGCTCAGACCAGATTTCGAGGTGCGTTAGTTGTGGTGATGCGATGTCCAGCCTCGATCGGAAAAGTTTCGATAGACACTTAGTGAGAATGAACGGTAGCATGATGCCGCACCTTTTTGCCCAAGTTAACAATGAGATATCCGCCATGGCAGGTGATGCAGGACCGATCTGCCGGAAGGCTTCGATTGCCCCTCTTCCTTGCTCATCTGCCATGTTCGCAGAATCTCCCCAGTCAGTCGACTTGGGCCTGAAGGACGTGGATTGCCAACATCGGTCAACTGGTCGAAGAAACAGGGCTTCCGAATGCATTTTGACCCATGCCTGCCTCAAGACCCGGCTCAGGCGAGCATAAATCCATGATTATCAGCATCGGACCGCTAACTTGGTACATTCCCAGACGTTTCGCCTGCATCGTAGTCGGCATCGTCAGAGAAGAGGCGCCATGATAGGCACAAAGATGCAACAAATTGTGACCTTAATAAGTTGTGACTATGTGCTAACAATGGCAACTCGCACTGACGATGCAGACTACATGTCGGGTAATGTACCAAGTAAACGGCCCGATGCTGCAAATCATCATGAATCTTACGGCAGAGGATGCAGTTCTATGCACGGTACCAACTGCCTCCCGGTAACTACGACCAAGTTATGAAAATGAGGTTAGACCATTAATAAACAGCTAAAGGAGACAGCGACAAAGCAAAAGGCCACACCATTTTTCTCTTGGTACCTACGAATGCGAATTGGGAAGAAACTCAAGCCCTAGAGTCAGGCTGATTGCGGCCAGACCTGAAGAAGCGACAATCTCTGGGCCCCTCGAGTACGGTTGCCCCGCTTGTGTTACGCAATCCCTGGAGCCCTAGCGCCCTGACGGTCTAGCCGGAGAGGGCTGAACATGGGGATTGAATTTCCTGTACATTGCAAGTGTGCTTAGATGAACATGTGTTAAAACCACTCGAGTCGCCTCTTGAGGGCCTCCCATGCGTCCAACTCAATTGAACTCGAAACAACCCACTCCGGTCAGGTAGAGTGCGTGCATGTCTGTTTCTATGAATTGTGCCCGCCAGCATCTACACATATGGTTGTGCGTTTGTCTAAATATATGCTCATTAGCGAACCAGTTGGCTCACCCTTTTGTATACGTGGCGATAGGCCATTTCGACATTTCTCTTCGGCAGTCACAGTGAAGGTTTTAACATTCTCTCCTGTCAAGGGATTGGACTTTCCACCTGACCAAAGGGAAAAGAAACAAAAAAGAAAAAAAACATGAAAACACGGTAAAAGTATATGCATTAACAAAACAACCCATTTGACTAATTGACCCAATTTGAAGGTTCCTAAATCTTTTAAGCCTGTACTTTACCAAACATAATCCTGATGTCATAAAATAGACATCATCAAAGCATCGCCATCATTCCTACAGCCGTATTCAAGCTGACACGTCAAGAAGGCTCGTCAACTTATCCCTGAATGCTGTACATATATCCTATATATGTGCTTTTTGATGAGATATAACGTGATTTGATTAAGAAATATACAAAATTTATATACAAGTCAGGGAGTTTTATTGAAATACGAAGAGTAACTAACTAGGTTTCGGTGAAACTCTTAAGATACTATTGCTGGAGAGACCTTCATTTCGTATGAAAGTGAATGAAGAAGGGATTCGGAGGTTGATCTTACCAGAAGTCAACAGATGAGTCCCGTTCGAATTGACGCCGTCCACGGGACATTCTCATCAACTTGGATTGCTACTTATGCGTATAAGAGGTAAGATAGAATTGAACAGTCTTCTTGATCTTGAGTTAGCTTGAGACTTTTGCAAGAATGAGTTCCATCCCTGATGATGTCCATCCTATGATGGACGAAAGCTCAGCCCGTATTCATCCAAAACGCAGGATGCTGCCTCGTAGACTGTGTCAACCTGAACGTCGTGTTGAAACCAAACGGCTGCAGCACCACGCGAATCAGCCTCCATCTCCTGGGAAGATCAACCTTCGTGTCTTTTCTTCATGCACTTAAATAAGAAATGAGGGTCCCCACAACACTGCTATTTCAGGATATTCCTTTAAACCCAACAAATCTTCATATTCTGTGATGCATTCACTCAATTTCGTTTAAGGTGATGAAAGACTGATAATAGAATTTTCCCACAATGATATGAGTAAAGCTGACGTTTCCATTGAATTTCACATAGCCTTGCTTTCTCAAAAGTTGTTCCCATCCAGGCAGGAGTGGACTGCAGTTTTGACCTCGCATCGGTCTTATCAACACCCCCAGCGGGAACCGAACCATGACAATGCAGGATGGGAGCTTGACACGTTAACCACTCGATAACATTGCCACGAGTGCCCTTGGGTCACAGGGCTGATGTAAATTTCAAGGAAGGCCAGGCCTTTTGTCATATCATATTCTTTGGTGGGATTGTCTAGGAAGCAAACATATAGTTGCTATGACAATCAACTACGTTACTTTATTTTTCGCATTTTAAAGATTGTTTCGAGACTATCAGTAAATCAGTAATATGAGATGTATTCACCCAATTTCGTTTAAGGTGATGAAGGGGTGATGTTGATAAAACCGATGCGAGGTCGAAACTGCAGTCCACTGGTGCCTGGATGAGAACAACTTTTGGGAAAGCAAGACTATGTGCAATTCAACGGAAACGTCAACTCTACTCATATCATAGTGGGAAAATTGTTCTACCAGTCCTTCTTCACCTTAAATGAAATTAGGTGAATACATCTCATATTACTGATTTACTTATAGTCTCAAAACAATAA